GACGCACCTCGGAGGGGATCTCGACGTCGCCCGAGTCGATGGCCTCGATGACATCGTGCGGCGGGCGGCCGTCGACGGTGCAGCCGACCGACTGGCACGTGCCGAGGATCTCCTTGACGCCGTTGGCGAGCGACGCAGAGAGCGTCTTCTTGGCGTCGCGCATCGTGCGCGCGATGTCAATGACGCTGTTGAGGAGAGGCGAGGGGTCAGTGCCGCGTGCGTGAGGAGGTCGAGAGACGGGGGCGGAGAGGGACGCACTTGTCAAGCTCAACGTTGCCGGTGTGCTTGATGTTCTTCTCCTTCTTGCGGTCGCGGGGAGGCTCTGCATCGTAGAGAGCGAACGCACGAGAGGGAGCGTCAGCACGTCGCCCTGCCCCACCCGGTCACCCCCTCTGCCGACAGCCCGCGCGACCCGACGGCACCAAAGAGGGGGAGGAACGCACCCTTGAGCGCGCGGATGACGAGCGACGACGCCGACGGGACGACCGAGACGGCCGCCTGACGGTTCTGGATCGTGAGCTGGACCGTCACGCGGAGACCCTTCCAGTCGCCCGTCGCCTTGGCGATGTCCTCGCCGACCTTCTTGGGCGACTGTTTGTTTTTTGGGGGCCGAGTCGAATCGAGAGGGGTCAGTGGGTCCGCGTCGAGAGACGGGGAGAGGTGTACGCAGCGGTGGAACCGCCTCCTCGTGTCCTCCTCGCCCAGCCGCCGCGACAACCCCGAGCAGCCGCGCGCTCGTCCCTCGACCCTGCAGCACTCCAGCAACCGCACCCGCCCTGCGCAGCCCCTGCGTCGACGCCGTCAACCCCGCCGTGAAACCTCGCGGCGGCGACCCGCGCGCCGGTCCGCGCTCGCCGCCTCGCGCGTGCGCAGGCGCTCGTCCTCGCCAGCACGCAACGGCGGCGGCATGTTCGGTGTGTGTGGGTGGGGGGGGTGTCGCAGACTCACGAGACCGAGGGGACCGATCTTGGGCGCAAGGGCGGACGAGGCCTGTGTGGGAAGAGGGGGGAGGGAGGTGGTCAGCTCGGGTGCCCCTGTCGCGGCTCCTCCTCGGCGGGCTCCACAGCAGGGGCGGGCAACGCACGCCAACCTCGCCACCAGTGGCCCTGAGGTAGATGATCTGTCGGTGCGAGGCGTGGGTCAGCGCTGCGGCGTGCGACGCAGGGGGGGGGCGGGCGAACAAACTCGGAGCGCGAGCGGCCGTCGAGGGCTCGTTCGGTGGCTCCGAGCGGGCAGGGACGAGGTAGGGAGGGCGGACCTTGATCTCGTTGGGGTCGATCTTGGGGGCCATCCTTGTCGAGCGATCTGAGGAGTGAGCAGAGCTGGAGGAGAAGCGCGAGAGCCGCCCGCCTTGGGTGGTCGAGGCGTCGACCGCGGGGAGGGGGAGGGCGCCAGCTCGACTCTCTCTCTCTCTCCCTCTCTCCTTAACTCTCATTGTGCTTCTCGCTGGTCGCACAGTTGCTCAGCTCGCGCTTTCAGCTCTCTTCTGGCAGAAGAGCCGCCCCCGTCACTGTGTCTGCCACGTCCCGGCGCCCCCTCTCTCGCCTGCACGCCGCGCTGTGCCCTTCTCACTGCCTCTGGCCGCATTCTGCTTCGCTCACAGCATTGATGACACCCTTGTCGTTGCAACGAGCGCCGCTCAGGTTTCCTCCGCTGTGCGCGCACCCGCTTGCGGCTCGTTGTTCCGCTCCGCACACCCCTTGAGGCGGCTTGCTCCGTGTTCCTCTGCCTCTGACGGCGTGCTACCGTGCGGCTGACGTTCCCGCATGATGCGCGCGGCTCGACGACACCTCGCGACCGGGCGCTCGAGAGCGGAGCATGGGGACGGCAGCCGAGGAAGCGAGTTGAGTTGGGGCGTGGAGGGCTCGAGAGCGCGCTCGCCCGAGTGTAGCGCCGGCAGGGTCCTTTCGTAGCAGAGTTACAGTGACTGCAGCAGGAGCATGTTGAGCAGAACAGGTACAAGTGTCGGGGACGTAGAGTGGCTGCGAGCTGCGTGATCGAGAGGGATGCGGGGAGAGTGAGGTGAGCTCGAGCACTCGCCCGTCGGCGGCCACTGCGCAGGCTCTGGGGCTGTGAGCGCAGGTCGACACTGTGGCTGGCGAGTCGTGGAGGGTTTCTTGAAGCATGACTAAGCCGAGGGACTGCGAGTGCGAGAGCGGGGGCGGGTGAAAAGAGCGAGCGAGGCGGGCGCCCTGCAGGCGAGCAGGCGAGGGCCGACCTCGAGGCAAGTCCTTGCCGCGCCCTCCCCTCTCCCTCTTCCTCCGGAGCCCACGCAAACAGTACGCCCACCTGCTGCTGCTCCCTCTCTCTCTCTGCGTGACACCCTGCTGACCTGTCTGCACCCACCTCCCAGTGTCCGAGAGCCTCATCTTCAAGGGAAGGTGCGGACTGGACCACGACCACCTCGCCTCCGCCTCGCCCTCGCTCCGTCGCTGACCCTGACCCCCCGCCCCGCCCCGCCGTGCCTCGCGCCTGTGCCCGTCTGCTCCCACAGCCTCGTCGGCCACAAGTGCGCCCCTCTCCCCTCCCGCCTCCGCGCCGTCGAGACCCCGAGCTGACCGCCTCCCCCCCCCCCCTTCTCGCGCGCGTTCCCTCGTTTTTCCCTCGCCCTCGCCTCTCTCCCTCCTCCCACTCACCCCGCCCCTGCCTCGTCCAACTTTTTCCCTCCCTCGCTCCCCTCCTCGCTCGACCTGCGATGGCGACCACCGCTGCAGGGGCGATGTCACGGCCATCGCGACCTCGTCCGAGAACCCCGACATGATCTTGACCGCCTCGCGCGACAAGACCATCATCATGTGGTCGCTCACCCGTGACGACGTCAGTCTCTCCCTTCACTCTCGCGTGGACTGTGTGGATGCGGGAGGCAGAGCACAGGGCGTGGCGGGCTCGCATCCGACTTGGCAGTGGGCGATGGCGCGGCGGTCGTCTCGGGGGCTTCGACAGAGGGGGGCTGGGATCATACGCACGCGGTGCGAGCACTCTTCCTGACTGTACGCACGGTGGGCTGACGCGTCCGTACGCTCCCTCGATCGCAGGCGTCGTTCGGCTACCCGAAGCGCATCCTCCACGGCCACAACGGCTTCGTCTCGGACGTTGTCGTCTCGTCGGACGGCCAGTTTGCTCTGTCCGCCTCGTGGGACAAGACCCTCCGTCTCTGGGACCTCAACACGGGCCTCACGACCCGCCGCTTCGTCGGCCACACGTCGGACGTCCTCTCGGTCTCGTTCTCCGCCGACAACCGCCAGATCGTGTCGGGCTCGCGCGACCGCACCATCAAGCTGTGGAACACGCTCGGAGAGTGCAAGTTCAACATCACCGAGGACGGCCACAGCGAGTGGGTCTCGTGCGTGCGCTTCTCGCCCAACCCGATGAACCCGGTCATCGTCTCGGCGGGCTGGGACAAGGTCGTCAAGGTGCGTCTCTCTCTCTCTCCTTGCCCACATGCGTGTGCGTGTGCCTGTGTGTGTGTTCTCGTGTGCCCGTGCCGAGCGCGTGCGCGCGCGCCCTCGTTACTCCATCGAGGACGCCGTCGCCTCGCCTCGCCCGCCTCGCCCCCCCTGCGTCGGATCACACACATGATGATCTCAACTCTTGTATATATTTGCTACTTCAGAGGGACTATCTTCCCCCATGAGAACACCAATTTATCCACCAAGATCGCTGATCCGATCCGACCCAGCGGCGGCGGGCACACACACATACACTCGCACACGCATATGCGCACTGACCCCCCCCCCTCGCTCGACGTCGACATCTCGCTGACTTTCTACACCCGCTCCCTCCACCCCTCCCCTCGCTCGACACCCTCTCAACGCCACCCTCTCGACGCCACCCTCTCGCCGCACTCGCCCCGGCCACGCTCGCCGCCGCGCCGCTAGGTCTGGGAGCTCTCCAAGTGCAAGCTCAAGACGAACCACTTTGGCCACACGGGCTACATCTCGACCGTGACGGTCTCGCCGGACGGTTCGCTCTGCGCGTCGGGCGGCAAGGACGGCATCACGATGCTGTGGGACCTCAACGAGGGCAAGCACCTCTACTCGCTCGAGGCCGGCGACAACATCAACGCCCTCGTCTTCTCGCCCAACCGCTACTGGCTCTGCGCCGCCACCGCCTCGTGCATCAAGATCTTTGACCTGTGCGTTCCCGACTCGTCCCTGTCCTCGTGCCTCTCCTGTGTCCGTCTCCTCGGCGCTGACTCGCCCTCGTGTGCCCGCCCCTCTTCCCTCTCTACCGCACCGCAGCGAGTCCAAGTCGATCGTTGACGAGCTCCGCCCCGAGTTCGACCTCGGCGCCAAGGCCCGCGAGCCCGAGTGCACCTCGCTCGCGTGGTCGGCGTCCGGCGACGTCCTCTTCGCGGGCTACACCGACAGTGTCGTCCGTGTCTTCTCCGTCGTGGGTTAGGAGAGGCGGCTCGTGTGTGTGTGTGTGCGTGTCGGGCCTTTCCCCCCCCCCCCCGTGCAATGTCACGGTTGTGCTCGACTCTCTCAGATCGTGGATGTGCGAGGGCCCTGGTGCGCGCGGCATGCTCCCTGCGCCTCCCGTGCGCGTCCCCGTTTCTCTTTCCGGTGACAGCAGCACTTCAGCACTGCCCCGTGTCCGAACAACCGTCGCGAAAGCGCACCGGCTGCACCGATCCCCTCCCTCCCGTTCCCTCTCCCCCCGCTCCGGGGTGCTGCTGCGGTTGTCGCGGCGGCGTTGATGGTGATGACGGTGCCGGTCCTCGTCGCTCGAGTCGGTCTCGTACTCGTCGCGGTGGTGGCCTAGGGGGCGCGAGGGTCCTGGCGGCGTGGGTGAGCGCGAGCGCGGGAAGCGTGCGCAGTGACCGTCGTCCTCCTCGCCGCCCCCGCTGCGCCCGGAATGGCCTTCCCAAGGGCGCCAGTCCCCTGCCCTGCTCGACCCAACAGCAAGCACGCCGCTCCGCTCGCCTGCGAGGCGACTGTTGCGAACCGGCGCAGCAAAAACGACGAACCACGGAGTGTGCCTGCGCGGCAAAAGGGTGGTGGAGAAGCAGGGAGTTGAACCCTGGACTTCATGCAAGCACAAGTTGTGATGATGCGAAGCAGGCACTCTGCCACTGAGTTACATCCCCATTCTTGGACTGCTTGAGGATCCGTAAACATACACACCAAATTTTGGCTTGCCGCGCTCAAGCGTCTTGAGCGAGTCCTTCTCGTCGAGGTTCAGCTTCGGTCCGGCAGAAGCTGTGCTGCTATGTGCTACTCCGTGCTGGGACCGGGTTCTTGGCGTCCTGCGGGCGCGAACTGAGCTCCGAAGCTGTCGTTCGCCTCTCGACTGCGGGTCCGAGAGCGTCCGAGCGAGGTCCTTGCGTCGCCACGACCCAGCTCGGGCCCGTCCCAAGCTCGCCCAGCCGAGAGACAACTATCTTGTCTCTCCACTGCTTTGACGGACCCACGCTGAGACGCCTGCCCACGCTCCGCCGAGGGACCCCAGCAGGGCCCACTCTCGCCCTCGCTCCGGCCAAGCGCGTCTCGTTCAGGGAGCAACGCGCACAGATCTGCGGTGAGCCGCCCCCCTGCTCTCGTGCAGTACGAGTTGAATCCAGGTTCCGCGTGGCAGCCTCGCACCTCTCCCACCTCCGTTGGCAGTCGCTCTCCCACCGACGATGCCGCAGCGCCGCGTGTCGGCCGCTCCCTCGGCGTATCTCGCGCGCGCTCCACGCCCACGCACCGATGACACGGAGGGCATCGTCTGCACTGTACGTCGGCGGGCTGCCCTCGGTCCACCTGGCCCCGAACGACAGCCTCTCGGGTTCTTTGCGCCCGCCGCACCGCCTGCCGGACTGCGCGGAGGAAGCCGGCCACTCCAGCCACAAGTCGGCCATGCTCCGGCTGTTCTCGAGCTCGTCGAGCGCCGGCTGCACGTCCCGCAAAATCGATCCTGTTCCTCGAGCCTTCGCGCGCCGTCGACAGGCTCTTGCGCAGACGATTGGAGTTCGGCAACGGCAGCTTGTCCTGGTACCAGAACGGAGCTGCAGCCCGGCAGACTCTCGTCAGAGCGTCTCGAGGGGGCCGTCAGATGGTGCCGGTCCAGCTGCCTGGGCGATCGAGCCACCCTCACACTGCGCTACGCTGCTCGGGCTCGGCAGCCATCTCCGCACGTGGAAGCGCACAGGAAATAGCGTCGTCGTGGCAGAGTGTAACAAGCGACAGAGAACGGAGAGCGCGGGGGGGTGAACAAGCTGGGGAAACTAGAGCTACAGGCGTCCGATCCTTCCTACATCCCTCCTTCTCCTCCCCGGGGCACAGGGCCCGGCGACATCCGCCTCCGCTCCCACACGGCGTCGGTACCGCACGCATGACGCGACCCGGCCGCTCAATGCGCGTCCTCGTACCTCGGCGGCTCGCCCACCTGCGCCTCCGCACCCGTCGCGCCCGACCTCTCCTCGACCCGCACCGTCGCCTCCCCCGCCGCCCCCGCCGGCGGCGCCTCCTCGCCAAAGACGACCTCTGGCGGGGCGCCCAGCTCTGGGTCGAGGACGGGGAGGTACGCGGTCGGGGAGGAGAAGGACGAAGGGGTGACGAGCTCGACGCGGACTATGGGGCGGTAGGCGAGCCAAAAGGAGCCCTGTGTGCGGTGTTGGGGTAAAGCGAGGATGCGTATGGTGAGTTTGCAGCCAGAGAGGGGCGGAGGTGAGAGAAGAAAAGGGAGCGCACCTCGGTCTCTCGCATGCGCCACCTCATGACCGGCCCATCCTTCCTCGGCATGCTCTCGGTCCTCCCCCTCTCGGCATCCCCATCGAGGTAGTTCCTCATGAGCCCCGCGTTGGTGCTCGTCAGCGCGAGCGGGGACCAGTCCCTCGTGCGGGCCTTGAGCGCGCGCGCGAGCGTGTAGCGACGCATGCGGACGGCGTTGACGCCGAGGCCGTTGAGGAGGATGACGAGGACGAGGGCGATCTGGGTAGGGTGTGTTGTGGTCGCGTGATGTGAGCAGGGAGACACGCACGCGAGAAAGGGCAGGCAAGGGGACCACGCACCTCGACGCCCTTGAGGAACCCCGTCTGCACCCCGCCTCCCTGCGCAAGCGCAATGACGAGCGCGACGAGCCACACATAGTCGAGCAGCTCGACGAGGGCGAGCCAGATGCGCGTCGTGATGAGCTCGTCCTGGATCAACTCGTTGAGCTCGTGGACGCGCTTCTTGTACAGGGGCGCGAGCGGGTGCGCGCTGTCGTGCGTCGAGTGCGGCGTGAGCGCGATGCCCGAGTCGCCCGTCGTCGTGCGCGTCGTGCGGCGCGACAGCGAGCGCGAGAGCGACAGGGCCCTCGAGCGCCGACTGCCCCCCGCGGCACCGCCCTCCTCCTCGTCAGCGCGCGCCTCCCGGTCCTGCAGCGCCACCTCCCAGGGGACCCTCTCCCTCCCACCAAACTGCCGCGGCCACCCATCCCACAGAACCTCCTTCCTCCCCGCGAGCGCCCTCCAGATCTCGGGCAGGCGCAGCCTCTTGCCCCACTTGCCCCCGGCGAAGCCAGTGCCCCCGCCCATGGCGTCCGGCGCACAAGGGTGGTACGCCCACTGGACGGTACACGACGCGGTAGTGGCCGTGTTGGTCGAGGGGGCGAGGCCCGGCGCGAGCGGGGGCTCGCCGCCGCCGCCGCCGCCGAGGGTCGAGGAGCGCTGTCGGGCGAGGAGCGCGCCGGGAAAGTAGAGCGGCGGGGGCGCCTCGCGCGCGGGCGGGTGCGGCGGGGCGGAGGGCTCGACGATGCGGAGGGAGCGGGGGCGCGGAGCACGAGGCGAGGACGGGGGCGATGAGGAGCGGCGGCCCCGAGTAGGTGGGTCGGTCGAGGTCGAGGTCGCGGGCGGGTCAAAGTTGGGCTCTTGGACGGGGAAGATGCGCTGGTTCCAGGTCGGGGTGTAGCTTGGGCGCGAGTAGAAGTTGGCCATGGCGGGAGGTCGAGAGGGTCCAGGAGCTCGGCGGTGGGGCGGGGGGAGATCGGGAGGTGGTGAGGGTGGCGGAGTCCACGGGCGGGAGGAGTCTCGGCGGGTGAGGTGGCGTGCTGTGTGTCGGGTGCAGTCGCGCTGTTGTAACTGTGATGCGCGTGACGCTGGGTGGCCCGAGAGAGGGAGAGAGAGGACCTGACACTGCTCGCGCGACTCGGCGGGCAGCGGCAGGCGCGGCCGGCGCTTGCCAGTTGTGGCAACTTTGGGCAATTGCTTCCCCGCCTCTGGTCGGGCCAATCCCTCGTCGGACACCGCGCACCGCCTCGCTCTCCCCAGCTCCTCCTCCAGAACTCACGACGCCAGCCATGCTCGCATTCGCTCATGGCTTGGCCCTTCTGGCCTGTGTCCACGCTGCCCTCGCAGCACCCAGTGCGTCTCTCCTCCTCGCACGCGGCGCACCTACCTCGCCGACTCGACGCGATCTGACCCCTTTGACCGCCGCTCACCCCGCCCTACTCTCCCTGCACAGCTCCCAACGCGACTGCGACGGCCACCAGTCTCTTGAGCGTCCCGGCCTACGCGACCCAGACCGAGGGCGCGTTCGCGACGGCGTCGGCGTCGGCTCTCGCGAGCGCTCTCCCCGGGTACCGCTACAACCTCACTGAAGAGGTGCGCACACCGTCGCATTGCCACCCTCTCTCTGCTCTGCTCTCACTCAGGACGAATCCACCGGAGACGAGCGCCAGCGCTGACCCTCCCCTCTTACACTCACCCACCCCCCGCC